AATTTCCTCATTTCTGATATCAATCCAAGAAATTATCAGAAAAAAATTAAACGAACAAATAAAATATTTTTGTGAAAACAAACCATTACAGGTAGCACATTTTAAGCGAATCCAATTATCCCGAAATAGTTTCAATTGTGTTAACTATTTCAAATCAAGTGACTGCAAATTATCATATTCATTAAAGTCAATGAGTACGCACAAACCCATGGTCCAGCAGCAAGTAGCTTTGTTGTAGAAAATATGTACAGGCAGTGTAGAAAAGATCGGATAGGAAAGTGTTATCATTATCAGGAACACGTCTAAATCACGTCTAAACCAGGTTCGTGGTCTATAGTAAAATCTTAAGGAAGAAACAGTAAGTATTATACATCTTTTGTTAATACCTTTTTCTAGACTTAATACATCCTGCACAAATCATTGAAGCAGCCAGTATAAAGAATTGTGTAATATTATACAGCAAGAAACAAGATAGATTTATATACAATTCTAATTATATTGTCGCAGTGTTATACAATGTAACATTTATTGATGTCATTGATTATATATATATATATATGGAAGACTTGGAATACGCATTTGAACTATTGAGATTATTTCTTGCACGTATAGCTGTAATAAAAAGCTCCAGCCAAGCTCAAGTAAGTCGTATATTTTTCAACTTACATATCGATTATGTTGTAGCAAAGTGGATGTATACGACTATGAATATTGCAACAGTGGGCTAGTTGACATTTTTGCATATAAAAGTCGAAAACACCAACCGGTTAAAAACGTGCTGCTGAGCTTGAATAAATATCTGCTGTCAATCATAGTCACAGACCCTTGAACCACTGAAACAGTGTGTTTATCATGATCACAAAGCGAATTCAACAAGATAATTTAAATTGTATTCACAATTTTAATTTAGTATGTATGTTCATGTTTATGGAAACACAGGACTGTAATGAGAGTATTTCAACGCTCGTCTAGATATTCTTACTTTCCATCGTCCGCACACAGTCTTTTATAGCGTGACAATTTATCCACGCATCCTCTTTGTACGTGCAATATCACGAGTACAATTTTCTGTCGTGTGTTAGTAAAAGATAAACAATGCTGTTACTATCAGCATCGAGCTTTTTTTATCTCCATCCTATTAGTAACATACAAAACATACCCGCTTATTTATAGTTAAAGAAACTAATCACGTCGTATGTGAATGGGTGAGTTTGAGTCAGTAAGTGTGGGAGATGGACACGTACATTGATGTCACACAATATCTTCCAAATTTACAAAAGTCGTTACTCGTGGGTTTGTAAAACACCGGAATAATGAAAATATTCCCATTAAAACTGATTAATTTTGGGGTGTTGTTATATATAATAGAGAGGAACACCTGCACACTGGTACTGGGTTTAGATTTATTGTGGTCACATGTCCGCGTCGTTATACGTGTATGGCAATGTCTTTAGTTGTGTGTGTAGGTATATGCACATAGTCCCATATGGTCCATCTCAGAAACATGAAGTATGTAGTTAGTGAACGCCCAACAAATATTTCATCAATAAAATCAATCTCGTGGCCATATGTAGCAAAAGAATCCATGGGAAAATCAACCCATCATGTATTTTACCAACTGGCTCGAGATCTCACCAACGCAAAAGTGGTTTTCAAATCACAGACTTGAATTCACTTAGAAGAGGATAAACTCAACTTGGCCTTTCGGAAATTTCATGAAACGATGGATCGTTTCAAATGTATTATCATTACTATTGCCACGCATCAGTAGTAACATTTTTGTCACCAGGCAGTAATTAAGTGATGTCATTATTTTATTGTCCATCACGATGGCAAATGGAAATGATGTGATATGCATTTCAGACGAAATTTATCAAAAAATGTGTAATTGATTAGTTGAAAATACAAACCTGCAGTGTTACAAATGAAACAGAAAAGGTTTGAGTGTCTATTTCACAAATATATTGTGCATTGCTTAGTGCGATCAAATACCTGTAATTGATTAGGGTCACAGGGTGCTAGTTGGGTTGAGCTAAGATTTCAAATTGTCCCAAACAAATGACACCCATAACACCCCTGTGACCTGGGTTCTTTAATAATTCGAAACTTAAGGCAGTTGTATAATTTATATGCGACATAAACAACAAGTACACGCTACACGAGTAATGTTTAAACAACGTACTTTATTCCACACACCTAAAAGATGGGCAGGAAATGCCTGACCCGTTACAAGGGGTAGTGGGGTACACGTTGTGTTGTTACACAAAAATATAATACTAGAAATATAATTCAGTAATAATATTGTAATATTTCCACACGGGAAAAGGGTAGGCAAGAAATGCCAAACCCTCTATAAAGGGGTATTGGATTACGTTATACTATTACAGGGAAATGCCTAAATCGATAATGTAACTAATTGTCTAACATAGAATCTTGCATGCATGCATAAACTAAGAGACAAACATACATAACAAACAACGGACGCAAATAATATACCGGCGATCGGACACAGCCCTACCTACATACAGTTTCTTTAAAGTAGATGAAAACGGGTCTTTGCGTGATAACGGTGTATTTTCCAGCGAGTCTCTGCTAACGGTGGCGACGACGGTAATTACAGAACGCAGTCAGAAGCACTGTAGTCGTAGAATACGCGCTGCACACTCAGTCGAGCACAATACCGATCAATTACAGAGTTTATCTGTCCAAAATACGTAACTTGTAGAAGGAGAGTGGTCCGGGTGGATTCCCTTGCACATCTGTAGCCAGCAACATAAATTAGAAGGCACATCCAGTTCAGAACCAAAATCGGGAATGTCATTCACTGGCGAGTTTCCCCACTCGTTAACTGTCGGAGGCCGGCCGGAATTGGCCAATAGAATTATCTTTATGATGCACATTCCGTAGATCACAATACATTAATTTGTATGACAATACACAGTGCATTATTCTAACGTTACTTGCAAACGCGTGATTAATAGACACGTAAAAAATGGTATACTGCCAGCAACGGCGAAACGACGTCCTCCAGAATAGATCACAAACTCCCATGATACAATATTATTCAATGGCTTACTGTGGTACCTACAAGATCGGACATCCACATTTGATCACATGAACGTTCAGATGGGTTCTATCAAAGTCCGCTACATCTTGCCACTCTATATATATATTTAACAATTATCTATCGCCAAAAACAACATTGCTTATCTATCGCCGTACGACAAACACAAAACACCACCATCACGACATACAACATAAACATGATTTAATGTTTGACGTTCGTGACAATTAGTTAAAAATACAAATTCAACTTTTAATTTGCAGTGTACACGAGTTTTATAAATATTTATAGCTAATATGTGATATACATGTTTTGTCGTTTATTACAACAACTTAAATGGATTGCAAAACTTATGCGGTTAATTCTAGACCATGTCGTGGTATTTCCCTGGGAATGTGACAAAACCTAGAACAGTACAAATTGTAACCAATTGTACATGTAATACATGCAAATTCTCCCAAACCTTCAATTTTCAGACCAATGAATTCAATTGCGTTTCGAAGAATATAATTATATACATAATTGGATTCCGGAATAGAATAGAAACTATAATGTATGCAATCAAAAATAATAAAAACACATTTAGTCAAAAAGAGCCCACATAAAACATGTGAACATGTTTACTATTAAATGGAATATGAAGAAGGCATCTGATTTATTAATTCCACTTTCACTCTGTTGATGAGACAAAATATCATTTCGTGAACAATTATAGTAATAAGTATGTCTCATCAAAATTGAGCGAAGGCAAACAAGTTGTTATGTCAATATGCCATATATGCCACTCCCTTCTTCATTTTACATATCGAGTAAAATATGAGTGTCACAATTAGCAGTTGTTCAAGACAATTCGTAGCACGTAGTCAACAATATTATGAATGATACGGCGACAAAAGAATAAGAAACAGGAATATTAATGAAATTTTCAAATATATTTAGATATAAAATAACATGTGTCATTGATTATTCGTTACCATGTATATTGTCTGTACATTGTCGGTTGTAATTTATATCCATTCATTTGATTAATTTGTATAATATTTACCTTGTGAGAAGAAAGTCATCACAGTCACTTCAACCGCCTTATAGCATATTATTAAACAACTTGTATTCTCCTAGTATACAGGTTCTATTTTAATAAACAAGCCGTTTACCAAAGATCTCATGAATATTCAAAACTTCATGACGTATCATATCGTTATGGAATTATCATAAATGTGACGTGTCAAACAACGCATATATCTCTTTGCGTGTAATAAAGGACGAGTTTTGTTTCATTGCTGTGAAAATATTGACACGGTAGGTAATTTATTTTAAGAATATCACAAATTTGTCGTCGTCTTTGATGATGGAATAACCGACCATATAGAATGCTTAATGAGCTGCGGAAAATACAGGCAATTGTATATATATGCAATATCAACATATCGCTCATTATTGTGACATTTTTATTTGGGAGCAATACTGATTTAGGAACAGTTGTTTTGTCTCGAATAACAACGCTTTGACAATTTTTATATTTTTAAATGTCAGATAATTATATAAATACCAAAGTGTATCATACGGATACTCGCTGAAACATTCTCCCTATTTTAACAACCACTGAATGCTAAAAATAACTTAAAATACCGTCTTTTCATCCATATCTATTTTTAAAACAAAAAATCCCATGATAACTTCGTATGAATTGCAAAATACAATATTAAGGTCATTCGATTTCTAGATTTGCATAAATATCGTATTTGATCTTTTTAAATTGCGTTACACATGAAAGCATTTTTGCATATGTTTAGTGACTACTTATGTATATGAGACATCCGTCATTTTGATAAATACTAGATAGAACGCTTTTCCTATTACACAAAATATGAGTGCAAATATATAAGTGCAAATCTCATAAGTAACTTTGTATATATTATTTTTGTCACTTGTCAGCCACATTAACATAACATTACGTAGTCCAAGTGATTCAGTATTACTAGTATATAAATATTATACAACAAATTGAGAAATATCAATTACAGATAACGATGTACAGACAATATGCATGGTAACAAGTCATCATTGTATCACGGGGAAAATCTCCTACTCTCGGGTTCTCCACACGTGTCAGGGGGAAACTCGTCTCGTCTCTATACCTCGTCCCCTTGAGGTGCGGGATCGGGAAAGTCACTTATACTTTACAGTCAAGTAAGACACACACAACAAAATACGTTTCAGCTCTCGTCTTAGTCGGTCAATCGAGCACTCTATAAGACACGGCGCCCTGGGGAAAAATCCCCAAGACTATCGCAAGGCTGACCCAAGACTCTCTTAGACTGCGTCAAGGCTCGCCACAAGTCTCTCCAGGACTGGACTCGACTACCTGTCGTGCTATACTCCCCAAGACCAACTCAAAACTCTCTTTATTCAATTTCAAAACTCTAACCAATTACAAAACAGTAAAAAGACTCTAGGGCGTAACCTTCAATCATAAAGCCAATCACACCAAGTACTGAATACGTCATATCTTTGATTAATCGTTCACTACATTAATAACTATGAAAACCAACTGTCAGAATGAGTAGTCTGAATAGCGGCGGTTATCTGGTAATTAGTTCCAAATCACTGAGCCAAGTTCTGTTCAAAACTTAAACTGGGCCTGAACGATGACAGACATAACACAGCAATTCGCTCGTAATCAAGCTAATTAAGTCGATTAACAGATACGCGAAAACAAATTCATGACAATTGACACGTTTGTTTTACATTGTATATCTTAATATATTTGAAAACTTCATTAGTGTTTCTGTTACTTGTTCGATTGTCGCCGTATCATTTCTGATTATTGTGTTTACATGACACGATATGATTTCGTCTGTACATATCCATGCATAATATTTCCGCATACGTGGTGCGAATTGTCTGTAACGACTGCTAATTGTGACACTCATATTTTACTCGATATATAAAAAGAAGGAGGGAGAGGCACATTAACAACTTGTTTGCCCTTCTCTCATTTTTAATGAGACTACTTATTACTATAATTGCTCAGAGAATAACAGTATTTCTGTCTCAACAACAGAGTGAAAGTGACATGAATAAATCAGTTGCATTCTAATAATGATGTTAGTGTCAACCATGCTGGTTTCACCAACATTGTCACATGGCGGCTTTGTCAGGAGCAAGGCAGGATCATTCATGTTCGGCAAACATTCAACTGCAGGACGTCATTCCCGATATTACCAAAAATACAATGGTAACATTAATATTATTTGGCATAATACATTAGACCATATGTAATTAATTAGGTAATAACAAGTGTTCTTTTTTTGCTCACACAGTGGGTACCTAATTACAAATTTTACATTTAGAAATGGCGTTAATGTATTTATCAGAAATACAAGTCTCAATATATGCATACTTAAAATTAAAAATACTCCACAGTGACAGACCAGTACATAGGCACATGCTATTAGTAATTATTGTTGTAAAATGCATAATATTCATTTAAGCTTGTATCACTTACAATCGTAAAGAGGGGGTGCGAAATTACACTTATGTTATTATACCCCAAATTCATTCGGAATTTTTAAATAGTCTCCTGCTGATATCAGCCAATCTTTCCTCATATTTTTTACATGAACCTATAATATATATATAAATGTACACACTGATATGTTGTCAAATATACTAGTAATATACATAACGTGGTGCAATTATTGCAAACTTGCTCAATAAAAATGCAGAAAATAATCAAAGAAAACTTAGAAAGAACTCCCATGTGCTGAGAGTATTGGAGACACATTAAATATAATTTGAAATTACTTAGCTGAAAACTAATTATGCAAATCAGAAAATTAACATGAATAGATTTGATTGTAAAACTAATGAGGTCTGCGCAATGTAAGAAAAACTCTATGTACCAAGTTTAATTGAAATGTGATTAGAACCAAAAATTATGAATTATTATGCTAATTAGGGAAATAATATGAACAGAGTTTTACCCCAAACTAATTAGGTTTGTACATTGTCCTAGAGCATCTTTGTACTAAGTTTCATTAAAATGGAAATTAGTACTTTAGATATCAGTGTGAAAGCTTAAAATTGGTTAATTATGCAAATTGGGTAATTAATATGTACAGATTTTAACCCACAATTATCCAGGTCTGTCTATTGTCCTACAGCATCCATGTATAAACATTCATTGATATGTGATGATTAGTACCTGAGATATCAGTGTGAAAGCTGG